AAATGTCTAATATTGTTTTTGCTTTATTTTTATCAATCTCGATCCCTTTTTCATGAACTATGAATCCTAAAAACTCACCAGCAGACACACCAAAGGCACATTTCAAAGGATTTATTTTTAAACCGTATTTCCTCATTCTTTCAAAAGATTTTCTTAAATTATCTAAATGTTCATTTTTTTTTCTTTGAAGCAACAACAATAAAATTTATATAAACTTGCATGAAATCATTAATCAAATCATGAAAAATTAAATTCATTGCTCTTTGATATGTTGCCTCAGTGTTTTTTAATCCAAATGGCATTATTACCCATGGTAAATGGCTGAGTGAACGCCAAATTTTGGAGAGACTGACCAGCCTGAGACACGTATGTTACGAACTCGTGTTGGTCTCCTTGAATCACTTCGAGATGTCCATCTCGATTCCACATAAATAACTTTTGATGAGCAGTAGAAGGCACTGCTCCAACTCCATGAATCCATTCCCTGCCCAGTAATGCATTAAAATTTGCATGAGATTGGACTACCACAAAAACAGTAGGCCTTGAATAAGTACTCACTTTCACATCCAAGGAAATCATGCCTTCTGAACTTGATGATTTCCCGCTGAAATCGAAAATCAAGATATTATTATTTGATCAAATCTTTCAAATTAACATTGGACCTCTTCAACATAGTAATTGGCAGTATGTTTACCGTCGCACCACCATCCACAAGGACTTTATTCACCCTTTGTCCTTGTATCTCAACATTCAACATCAGAGGTTTCAAATGAAACCTCATTTCCTCCGATGGAGAATCGATAAAAGCATTGTTTCTATGGGGAGATTCACATGACACTTGTGTCACCCAGATCACTTTTGGTCTCATTTCCTCAGAAAAGAAATCATCCTCTCGATAAACATCATTTTGTTCCTGAAATTCCTCATATTGATTAACATACTCCGAAGATAGTATTGATATCACTTCAATCTGTTGTCCAACCTTAGTATTTTCATCCTTACCATCGACAACATCCCTTGCATACTGACCTACTGTTGGTACACTCTACTCTTCAAAACTTCTGTAATTGTTGAACCTTCCCCTTCTCTTCCAAGGTTTTCCTCAAAATGCTCTCCTCTGGAACATTGGAAATCCAGTATTTATTCCTTCACTTAATGAAAGTCTATCAAACACATTATTATTTTGAAGTCTACCTTTACCTCCTCAAGGAGAAAATATTTCCTTGTTGACCCATCGCATTTGATTCTTATTATAAGAAGAACCAACAGATTGCTGAGTCTCTCCTACTATCATCTGGACCGTTTGTTTTCCTTTAAAATTGTAATTCTTCTGATGTGTCTCCACTTTTTTATTTGCTCCTCCCTGAAGGCTTTAGCAACAGATCTATCAAATATCGCACTCCATCGTGGACATAATGTTACGTCTTCATCCTTCTCTTTTGTTCTGGTAAAAAATTCGACGAGCGAATCCTCTGTTTGAGGATAAATCTCTCTCTCGAGTTTTTTCTCAAACTTATTTAAATCAAACTCAATATATTCCTTTGATATGTCCATTTTGACATGTCTAGGATTAACATCTTCAGTAATATCGACCATACCTATAAATGCTGAATTTGCAAAATCGGGCATCTTCAGTAATGCTTGACTGAAACTCAACATATCCCACATGGACCTCGAATGGACTAGTATCCACTTTCATTAACTTCTCCTCAAATTTTAACCTTCCCTGGTCGATTGCATCTTGAATTGTGTTCCTGAAATGTATACAATTGTTAGTCCAATGCCCATAAATATTATAAAACTAACAATATTTTCGACTGTTTATTTGATATAAAGGTGGCAATTTATGATCATTACTCAATTTAATTTGTTTATGTTTTAATAAAATATCGAAGATTTTATCTGCTTTTGTCACATTGAAACTATATGTTCGATTTGCCATTTTGTCTTTTACCTCGTTTTTCTGTAACAATTTACAAATATATGGAACTCCTACTTTGAGCTCTGTTATGTTTACTTTCTCATCAATAAAATCTTCATTTTCTACCTCTGTCTTAGGATTATCTTCATATATTTCATCTATGTATGCTACCCTGTCTTTCTTTATGGGTCTCTCAAATTTCTTATATCTTTCCTTCTCATATTTGATTTGTTTCACTCTTCTTACTTTATCGGCTAATTGAGACATGTCACTCAAAGATAAATTAACCAACTTCTTTCTAATCGAGAATTCTAAACCAGTAGAAGTCATTCTAACTAATTCAAATTCGGGAATCTGAGTGAAACATCTTGATTTCATTTGTCTAAATCTATTCAAATAATCATCTATACTCTCATAATTATACCTTTTTATATTCATTAAATCGATGAGACTTACTTAAGTTTCTCCCCTAAAAAATTGCTCATGAAAATTCCTTTCCAACTGCAACCAATTATATATCGAGTTAGGTGGTAAAGTAGTACACCAAATGAAGACATTCTTTGTTAATGAACTAGGAAAGTATTTCATTTTTAATTTCTCATTCATAGTTATGTCTCCACATTCGATTTGATATCGTGTCACATGCTCTATAGTGGATTCACCCATTTCTCCAGCACATTTTGTGAACTTAGGTACTTTATATCCTCGAGGTAATTCAGTCTCGAGAATCGTATTTGGAAAAGGAGAAATAAAGTATGGTTGATTAAGTGACCTTAATTCCACCTCTTGAGGATTCATCCTTTGACCCAAGAAATGATTGTACTGCATGTTATTCTGATTATACACATTCTGAAACCCATCATTTAAAATTCTTTGAGCATCATTCCTCATATGCAGATATTGGTCAGCATTTCGATTTCTCCTTAATAAACAAGGGGGATCAATATTGGTGTTTTGGTTATTGTCCTGATTAGCATTATTTTCATCCCTCGTTTGTCGAGGTATTGCCAATGCATTCCCGATATATGTCATTTGATCTGCTAATATCTCAAAACTGTTAGTAGTGTTTTGGATTAATAGGTTTAATACTATAGTCAACTGTTGTGACAACACATTGACCATCTCAAAATTACTTTCATCCATTTTTTGTCGAAACACCCCCCAATGAATTACTGAAAATTTCAATACTAGCATTTTCGATAACATCAAAATTAGATCGATGATAATCTCTATCAAACGCATACCTCCAATTATCCAAATTTGCTCTGTTATCTTGGTTTGGAGTTGGAGTCATTTGTTGTGTCCCTAAACTTTGTGTATTTCTTGGATTATGAGGTGTTGCTAAATTTTGGAATATACCTAAATTTAGAGATGCTCCGAAATTTTGAGGCATTCCTAAGGTTTGAAATGTTCCTAAGTTTTGGAGAATTCCTAGGTTTGGTCTCATATTTCGTTGTACGGAAGTACCAGCCTCATTCATATTATTAAAAGTAAATCCAAACGGTCTTATACTCATATATGGACCTGCAAATGTTGTTACGGAGTTTCCCATAGTTTGCATATTGTTTGTCATTATAGTTCCAGATCCTATTGATCGAGTATTTGTTAATGTCCCTTGACTTTGTTCATTATTCACTGGAATCGATGTACTCACATTTGATGATATTACAGACATAGTTCCATTATGAACTTGCCCTCTAGTGTTTGTTAGATTTGGGTTATTAGGAGCCTCAGTATTATTTTGATTATTTTGTGGATTTTGATTCATTCTCACTATTCATCCACTCTTTAATCTCATACACTTTTGAACTAGCCAATTTTTGTATGTTTAACACACTTGTCCCACTAAGCGTGCCAATTTGTTACTGATAAAATTTGGTTTTATTTCGATTCCTGAAAACTATACGTTTTAACCAATTTTCAACTACTATGAGTTATTTTATTTAGGCTAGCAAACGATGTTTTTCAATCAAAATATAAGAGGTGGTAAATTTAAATACGAAACACTAAAAATGAATTTAAAAGCATACAACTATCAATGTTACTCAAATAAACGATTATATCTAATTGAAAAAAAGATTACTCAATAACAATTGATAAATAAATTATTTTCATTAACTTAAAAACGAATTTTTTTTAATTTTATTATTAAGAAACTTGAATATTAGAATAGACAAAAGTAAAATTAATAGTAAACGATATAACCTCGAAAGACTATGTGAAGACATACAAATACATAAAAACTAGAGAAAGATGAAATAACGAAAAAACAACTATATGAAAACTCGATTAAATTACCTTTAAAGAAACACATAAAGACAAATAAATGATGAAACAAAGAAGTGATACACAAATTTAGATTACATATAAATAAATTACCAAGGAAAAATATTGAAAACAATAACAAAGATCGATGAAAGCGAAAACCCAAATTGTTAGAAATTTAAAATTTCTTAAGTCAAAATAATCTCCTCTAACCTCAAGCACTTTGTTCTATTTATAACCTTAACATAAATACCTAAAACAATTTTTAACCGCTACCCAATATTCCGATATGCTGAGATAACTGTTTCCTTCAATTTCGATCCCTTCAATTTTAACTTGACATTCGATATTTCAATTTTGTCAATTTTTTATCTCAATATGATCGTCAAATTTCTTCTCTCCACTTTTCGATTCATTATCAATTTTTCACACCAGCAAATAGTGATAGAATTCTGTAATGTAAAAGTATCTCCAATGAGATTGTTTCTTTTGATATTATTCCATTTGACGAATTACCGTCGGAAAGTTCAATGAATCAATGTTGTTTTCTAAAGGAAAGAGTTATATGTTATATAACACCAATATTGTATAACTTGCACCATCTGTTTTGTCTTCATTCGTAAAACACAATTATTATTATAAATCAACTTCATAAAATAACATTTTATATTAACTTACGATTATATCACAAAAAATCAACTTCAAGAATAACTTCACACCCACAATAAACTATAATTTAGTTATACTTCTAATTCATTCGAAATCTCTAGGAGAATCCAAAAACCCTGTAATAAAATAATGTCATTTTTAAGTGTTAAGACCTACTAGATACCGGTCCAAGGTTATACGAAGACTGCCATATTGGAATAACATCTTCGATCAATTGCTACAAAAGTGATGATACACTTTTTTCAGTGATCACAAGAATCATGACAGCATGTTTTTATAAAATATCTCAGTATTGGATCTTGGACACCAAAATAGGCTCTTTTGTTACAATGGGAAAAAAATGGAATATCATCAACACATACAATTGCAACACCTGGATACTGAATGTTACTTAGAGATAGAAGAAAAGAAATATCTCCCGCACATTGAAACAAAACAGAAAATTTAAAAAAGGGGGGGGGGGGGCTGGTTAGGCAATTTAAAAAGGGTCAGTACCTAACAGAATGGAAAGCAAGAAGACATGACGAACCATAATTTTGTCGTCCAGCATGGACATAAATCCCTTGCCCCAGGCCAAAACATTAGGTTATTGCAATGACATCAGTATCCGCAACAGTTTAGTTCCACCGATAGCATCTTTGCAGCATACAAGTGGAAGCTAAACTACAATCCAATTTGTGAGAATTAGCATCGTCTAAACAAGATAATGATGTATTTACTTTAAAACTGTGGCGGCAATGTGATATTTTGATGACCCACATATTTGGGACAATTCTCAAACATTCAATACAATGTAACTTACTGTTCAAAAAAATAGTCACAAAGTTACCCTGTCATTACCATGCTTCCTCGCCCCTAAGAATTGACAGGTTTTCCATTTAATTTAGGGAACGGGTCTTGCTTGCTCAATACAACTACTTTGCTTTTGTGGGCAAAGTAACCTTTCATAAGATTCTTAAATATCAGAATGGCCATTATACACTCTACCTGGAAAAGCATCATATATATCATTAAAAAAAAAACAATAAAAAACAGCAAATGTCACAAGCCCAGAAATAAAATGAAAATTTTAGGAGAGATCAAGAAGGAAAAAATTACCTCATCCACGTCCATATCTATTTCAAGCCATTTCAATGCTTTAACAATAACTTCTAACTTCACCTGATGAGCTCTGTTTGGATCCTTCTGCTTTTGAATGATGTAACTGCCATGTTACAACCCAGCAATAAAATGAAAATAGTGGTTTCAGTAAATCGTCGTCATTTATCAAACCTAATATAATTAGAAATAGGAGGGTGCACAGGTGACACTGGATACTTACATCTTCTTTACTAATCTCTGGTAAACTTGAAGTTCTAACTTCTCTAGGACAAGATATACACCTGATCTCAAGAACCTACAAGTGCAAGTAAATTCTATTATGCCCTCTTGATTAAACATACGAACATACGAACAACATGTCCTAGTCATGAAAAAATGACGGGCAATTATACCTGTCCTCATGATCTTGAAGTGCACGCCGAAGAAGTCGAAGATCACCCCTTCTTAGAGCTTGTACAATATTACTATACTGTCCAAAATAAAGAAGAATATTAAAATTAACATTTCTAAGGAACCTAAAGATGTAAAAACTTCAAATGTCGACAAACAAATGCAATAAAGCTGATGCATGTTTTCACAGGAAATTTATTCTGTAATATACAAGCACTACATATTTCTCCCAGTGCTTGGTTATAATAATTTGTTTTTTAAAATTTCCCTTTGAATCAAATGACCAAATTTCCTAGAAAATAACCATTCTAAAAATAGTTGTTATGATTCATGAAATTCTGAGAAATGGGTATTACCCATAAATCATTACTGATCGTGGCAAGAGCATAAGCACTCACAAAAGAAGAAAAGAAGGAAAAATGAAAAAAAAAAATCTATAAGCTCAAATTAGCTTAGGGATAAGTTAAAAATCAACTTTTTGAAAAAGTCAATATAAGAACGTTTCCTCCAATAAAATTATATATAAACTAATTTTAATTTGTGGGAATAAAAAATTCTTTCTAGTTTTTTTATACTAAAAGTGTTTATGAAAAGTTTTATTCAAACAAGCCCCAAAAGATATGGCTCAAGAGGAAACATAACAGTAGGAATGACAAACGGGTCAGGCCCGGCGGGCCAGCCCACCAGCCAGCCATAATATAGCGGGGCGGGTTGGTGTTTTCAACCCACCGGCCCGCTTTGGCCCGCCCCGCCAAGCCCGCCAACCCACCGGGCCAACCCGCAGGACGGGCGGGCCAGCCCGCGGCCCGCCTAATTAATAAAAAAATAATTTTTTATTGTAATAAAAATTAATTATAAAGATAATATATAAAGTTAAAAATTTTAAAAAGAGAATTAAAAAAGTTTCACTCTCACATAAAATATTTTCTTTACTTGAAACATAACATTCTCTCCTGTTCTCCTTGTTCCGATTATTTTTATTCTTATGACTTGAATTAAAGGTGTAAGAATTACTCAACCAAGAATAATGTGAAGTTTTATCAAATAAAAAAGATATAGGTATTTGAATTTTTCAATATAAAAAATATAAATTTTATAAGTTTTAACGTTATATATATATATATATATATATATATATATATATATATATATTTGTTATTATTTATTATTATGTAAATTTTATTATTGTTCTAAATTATAATTTCTTAAAATAATATATTGATTTATATTATTAAATTGAAATAATATATATATATATATATATAATTATTGACAAACAAATAATAATCTTATTATTAAATTTATTAAAAAAAATTATTTTAAAAAATAAATTATTTTTTTCTAAATTATGGCGGGCCAAGGTCTATAGCCCGTCATGACTATATCGGGCCAGCCCGCCCCGCCCCACTTTTGGCGGGCCAAGGCGGGCGGGCTGGCCCGTTTTGCCATCCCTACATAACATATTTGATACCCATTGGATCTAAAAGGTTTAAAATCAATAAAAATAAGACAAAAGCATTTATAGTAACACAGGGAGAGAAAGAGGAAAACAAACAATCCTCAAGAAAGCACCAGACATACCTCAAGTAGATTGTACTTCTCCAAGAGACTGCTTTTAGGTAATATGCCTATTGAAAGCTTCACCGGAATTAGATGTTTAAGTATCATCCTATGCCCAGCAAAACATTAAGTCATACACCTTATATTCAAAAAGATAGTTTATGTATGGTTTTCTATTCTTACATTCCTTTAACTATTTATAATTTTCCTTAATAAACATTTGTCGCAACCAGGATCATCACGCAGTGAGATGGAAAATTTTATTGATCAAAGCTATTCAACCTCTAACACGTATCCAGGCATTTAACTTCATGGGTATTTCTTTTATTGGCTTAGAAAAAACAACAGTATTTAACAGATAAAATACATGAGAAAGTTTGAGTTCATCAACTGTTTCTAAGAGGATGCACTAAGCAATTTTAAAGCTCACCCTTACCCGTGTCCATGAAAGTACACATATTTACAGTGCATGTAGAAGTATAATTGCGAGTAAAATACATACATACAATCATAACTCATTTCATGCAAATGCAATGTATATAGTTGGCACACCTGAACCAAACCTTATATTGGCTGAACTTTGAGGATTGCAATACTTGAGGGCATAAGATAATTTATAATCAGCCTGTCAAGTTAGAAATATAAACTGTATAAATGATTTAATAAAATTTTAAAGGTTATATTATCATTGTTCTTTGCTGTTGTCCGGCTGGATAAATACAATTCGGGTAAATTTGGAGATGAAAGACTGGTAAGAGAATAGCAACAACAATCAGCACAAAAGCATGTCACGTTTACTTTCAATTTTTTTATGAAAGAAACTGTTTTATTATAGTACTTTGTTCTTGAACCTTTTTATTTAATTATCTAAAGAGTTATTGTCAATTATCAAAAGTTAATAATTTGAAAATAGTGATAATGTGGTTACTTTAATATTTTGTCCCCTTTTTTTCTTTGAACGGCTGATGCTAGACTGGGATAATATCCTTCAAAATAATAGTAATGATTATAATAAGCATAATACAAGAAGTAAAACATCAATCAGTTTTGGTTGCAACCATATAGGAAAACATCTCTCTCTTAGCATCAACTAAAAAGGAATGTAAGCAAGGTGCCTTTACAGAAAATTACAAAGCATGCATTACTGAATGTGTCCAAACACAGTACACAAGCAGTTCATAAATTGAATCAAAAGAAATATAGAACACTTACAGCAGAAAAATTTTCATTGAAAACTTCAAGACGACCTGTATAGTACATGTAAGTAACCTGAAACACATCACAAATAAATAATCTAGAAATTACATGTATATATACATTGAATTTAATTAAAATACACTAACAATGTATAGATTTTTACAATGTCATTCAATCATAAGTTGTCTCGTATGGTAGATTTATTGAATTCACTCTTAGACAATTATTTTAAAATTCATACCTAAAACATTTTTTAATTGGTTGATTGATAGTATAAAAATATTACACCAATGGTACATAAAAACTAAACTCATACAAATTAATCCATTTCTAACCTTGTCTCTTTTGGGAAATTCCTCAAAATCAAATATTCGTGCAGTTTCAATGCTTCTTATTACACTGCGGCAAAGGTTAACTGTGCCAAGCTGCATTCACAGAAAGAAATTCAAACTCTAATTTCAATTTTGAACCACAAATGTTATGCCATCTCTGTCCTAGCGAACCTTCCCTGATCCCGTTGAACATGTCACACATATGATTAAAGTCTATTTCACTAGTTCAGATTAGTGACATTGCATATCAACAAACCAGATAAAAAACTATGAAACACTAATAAAAGGAAGCAACAAATACCTTAAAGTAAATCTTGAATAATTGACAAGTTACATATAATGCTCCAACACGCTTAGAGCCTTTTCCCTGGAATACAATCAAGCTATGATTTAGTATAGTACCTCTGAAATAAAAATTCCACACAATCACTTGAAGTAGTCAGAAATCAGCATAGAAGTATATGTTACAAAATGATAGAAGAATATGTAGACACAAACAATTCGTTTTGTGAGTTCTGCATGAACAATTAGGTTCTATGATGGCCAAATATAAAACTATAATAAAGTGGGAAATTTATAATAAACACCTTTTATGTTTAATTTGGAGGTCCTCAACGGCTAAATATCATGTGTTTGATGAGTGTTAATCCCATTATCTCTTCTTCCAGCTAGTTGTAAAGGACAAGAAAATGCATTATAACACATTAACAGCCGCAAGCAAACTAATTTTTGGGGAACACATGTATATTTGTTATAGTTTGTGTTATTCTTCTATATCTAAGTTATATACAATCAGTACCGTTACTCATTGTTTGGCAGCAAGAAGCAAAAAAGGAGAGAAAGTAAAGCACTAAACCTGGCTACAATCATCGTTTGCGCGTTTAATAACAGGGTAATGACACAAAATTGGATTTCAAACTAGCCAAACCAAACTAAATTTGAAAACATAACTGGATTTCAAATGACAATGAGTTGACGGAAACATTTACATACCGCAAGGGTGCCAAAAACTTTCATAAGGACGGAACCAGCGCCTTTCAACTTCTCAGGAGATTTCCCATTGGAAGCCAATTCTTTATCAGCCTAAATAAAAAAACAAATATCACACAACCCAACCAAACTTCCAGAAAAGGAGAAGAATATGAACCCGAATTATAAAATACCTTTTCCGCAAGAACCCTAACATCGTAAACAATGACGTACAAAGCCTCCAGAGCCCACGCGGATTCCCAATTGCGAAACTCCTGGATAAACGCACTGAACTCCAACGTTCAAATTTAAACACACGAAAGAGTTAACCTCAATTGAAACAATTGGAAATAATTATAATTAGTAGTAGAGGAAAAAAAAAAGTAAAATTACTTGGCGGTTTTTTCAAATGCGTTGTAGGCTTCGAGCAAGTTGTTCTGGCGGTAGTTTTGAAGGGATCGGAAGAGGGGAACGAGGATATCGGCGAATTGAGAATAGTTGTCGGATTGCTTGATGAGTCTGTTGGCGTCTTGGAAAATGTTGAGAGCGTCGGCGAGAGAAAGAAGGGAAGGGGCATTGGAGGAGAGAGCAAAGAGAGACTTAAACGAAGCTCCATCTTGCGACGAAACGGCGTCGGAGAAGCTATTCAGGTACTCTGTTATCCTTCTGTGAGCTTCCCCCATACTCATGTACGCCATTGCTAATTGCTACTACTTCCCAACACTCTTCCTTCAACTTCAACTCCAAATTGACAATGCTTTCTCCCAAGAGCTACTGAATTATGCTTTCAGCGCCGATCAAATTTGGGCTTTTTTCTTACTTCTATGGCCCATTTCCGGATCGGCCCACGTTCCCAAAACCCTAAGTTAAATGTATTATTTAAAAAAATATATATAGAAGAAATTTTAGAATTAGAATTTGTAGCAATATCAACTTAACTTAAAGAGTTAGACTAATTCAAATTAGCATTCTCATGTCAATTGGTAACAACTTTTTAGTTTGTGCCTTTAATCTTCTCAATTCGAAATAAAAACTTCAATCTGGGTATTTATATATTGCCACCCATTCATCTACAAATATTCAATTTATAACTTATTTTGTTAATATTATAATTATTAAAAATTTAATTTAAATAAAATAAAAAATAGAGTGGTGATATTTTGACAATTATAAATCATACAACTCTTCAAACAACTCACTTTTATTAATATAATAATCTATAGAATGATTTAATAAAAATAAAAATAAATTAAAAATATTATTATAATATTAAAAGAGAGTTGTTTATAGGAGTTATATGGATTTGAGTTGTGAAAATATCATTTTTCTTACAAATATTATTTTATTAATAAATGAAGTTGTAATTGAGTTGTGGGAAGAAATAAGTTCTCATTCCATCATTTTCCGTCAATTGCATAACATTGTGTCATTATCTACATTATAATTTTTTTTTCCGAGCCACCTTACATTATCATTCATCCTTCCTTAAAAACATGATTTGTTTTTTTCTCCGTTTTCTTTTAACCTAATTTAAAAAGTATGTTAATAGTTTGAGATTAGTTTGTATGATTCTTAAAGATGCTCTTGTTCTTTAAATCCATTTTTAAAAATAAAAAAAATTGTTTTTTTATTGTATATTATTAAAATTGGTTTTTGTTATGATGGGAGCTTAGATTTTAAAATGTTTTTATAAATATTTATATTATGTTACCTCTGTAATTAATTTTATTTATTTCATTATTGATTTGTACTATTGTCACAAATAAACACATGCTTTATGTTCATTGGTGGTAATGAAGACAATGATCACATAGCAATAGTATTTAATAATAACTAATTATCTTTCTAAGAAGATGTTGTTAGATTATTTAATTATCTCGAAGGGTTTGTATAAGTTTATTACGAATTTCATAATATTTTTCTTTTTCTTCTTATTCTTATTGTAAGTAGTGTAAATATTCTTACTTTATCCACTATTTTAAAATAATATTTAAAATTACGTCATTTGATAATAGTGTTTTTTTTTAAAGAGTGTGTAAAATATATACTCCACGAATGAATTGTAATTGAATTTTTCAAATAATCAATTTAGAATTGTGTCTGATATGATTTTGATAAATAAATTCTAACGAAAACAAGGCCTTGAAAATAATTTATTGTTCCGAAATGTTATATAATATTTTCTGGTTTAATAATAATAATAATAATAATAATAATAATAATAATAATAATAATAAAATAATTATTTTTTAGTTAGATTTGTAAAAATCCACGATCTATTCTAATATGTTAAAAAGTTTAATTATTCACCGTAATCTATATTTTAAAACGAAATATATTTTTTAATCTAATGTAATATTATGTTAAATTAACTTATTAATGGATAATTTTAATTTGATTAAAAAATTAAAAGATATTAGTAATATATTTATATTAGAATAATTAATTAAAAAATATTTTAAAAAAATAAATTATATCAATAAAAATAATTTTTTTAAGATATACTAATTTAATATATAAATTATAAAATAATAAAACATTTAATATCAAAATAAGTATAACAAATTTATTCTTTATTATCATTATTTATTTTTTAGTAATTTATTAATTTTAGTTATTAAATATTTAAAAAATATTATTAGAAACTTATTTTGATATTTTTTATAATAAATGAAATTTTATTAAATTAATTTATAATATATATTTTTTCTATAAAATATTTTTTTTGTTTAAAAATAATTATCATTATTTTAGAAAATAAATATAATTTAATTTAAACTATAAATTTAATTTAAACTGATTAGATTAAAATAAATATAATTTAAGTTAAGTTACAAAAAAAAATTACAATTTTTTTAAATAACCTATCAAATTAAACTTATTTTAACGTTTTTTAATAGTTTTTTTTTCATGAGAGGGGCATTATTGCTAAAAAAATATTTTTAACATCTCTCCATATTTAAAATTTTACTTCCAGATATAATAATTATTAATATATCTTTTATATATTTATTATTTTAGTTCTTTTATTTTTTAAAAATATTAAAATGAACCATTAAATATATTAAATAAGATATTGTTCTATCTTTTCATCAACTTTCCTTAACGACACGGTCCTAAAATCATTACATGCGTATGATTTTTTCCTCGCAAATGTTTGTTGAAGACAAATGTTCCTTGTACTTCATTTTTGTACGATACTTTAGTTCAATCCTACATCCCATGTGGATAATGAGAGAACTGACAAGAAAACCCCATTTCTCTTCATAATATTTAGTTTAAAGAGAAATTATTGTATGGTTAAAACTTTCGTATATTGATCATTTCAGCCAATCTATTAACGTTTTAGGTAAATAAAATTTCAATTCATAAAAAAATGATGCAAATTAATTGAAACATAATAATTCTGAACCATTGTGTTTGACTTTACATCTAAATGTAATTTTCCATATCAGTATATGATTTTAATATAGTTTTAATAGCCTAAGATTTATTCCATCTTTGTGGTCCTACCCATTAATAATAATTTATTCCGTACATGGAGACAAAGGAAACCGATTACTTTTAGCTAGATCCGCATTGCGTGCAACTATGCTAAGGTGCTAAGGTGTGTGATTGAATTATTATGGCAAGTCCTAAAAAAAAGCCGCAAAATAGTTCTTCATCAAATTCAACTTTGCAATCTATTTATATTCCTTCTGCTCGACTAATCACCACTACTGACACCGATTGATCATCAATTGATGCAACCTCACCAATCCTTCCATCCAAACATGCCACTACATTTCGCGTGGTCACACTTGTGCCAAATTATATCCAAATGCAGACCTTCTGAAATGTGGAACGAGAAAATTTAAGAAAAAATAAATAAAGAAGTCATGTTTATATCTTTGTTACCAGTAAAGAAAAGTTGAAACAAAAAATGTGGCTAAATAATCTCCAATATAGCGGTTCCTAGTTCAGAGGTGCATCTTTCCCCTAGTTGTATCGCATAATATACCAAAACAGCAATCATGGACGGTGCAAAGTGACCCAACACAGACTTCTTTTATTACTTGCATAAATATGGAATAAGGTTTCATTCATTGACCATAAATATCCTTGACATGTACAAAGCATTCACATTAATTCCGTTTCAGATCTTAGTCGTTCAATTTCCTCCTGTATGGTTAGTCCAGAAAAAAACCCTCGACATAGATCCATGCTTCCACCCACGCTTGCTAAATTTAGCACTTTTGGAGCTTCTGGCTGCTTCCATTTGGTCACGCCGATGACTTACGTTCAACATGTTCCACATCACCTCAACATCTCTGTACCCACACATATGCACATCATCGCGCAGTATCAACAACCCACTATAGGTTCTCCCACAATCATTGGAGAATTCACCGGTTCCGGCAACTCCGCCACCGGAAACCCCTGTTGAGGAAAAATAATTATAATTATATGTATAAAGAATGAAGGTTTAAAACAAAAAGATAGAAGGGTGAGGGTGGTAGAAAGACACCACTTGATTTGCGAAGCTTTATACGAGAAGAGAGTGCAGTCCAAGTTTTTCTGATCTGATGCCACCACCCCATGTGTGAAGCGAACAATAATAAGATCAGTGGTAGGGGATTTGCATGAATAGGTGGAAGAGAAGGATATATACGGAGAAGGGGGGTTTATTTAATTGGAAAAGAGAGAGGCACCGAAACCCATAACACGTTGGTTGAGGGGAGTGCCAAGCGTCTCGTGTTGGTACATTCGACAAGGCCCCCCTTGGTATCGTATCGTATCGCTGCCAATACTTGAAGTACTATGTATATGTATGATGTTGTTTGGTTTGTTTTTGTATGTTTTGTTTTGGATTTCCCTCTCTCTTTCTCTCCCTTCTTCTTCTTCTTTTTCTTCTCTTTTTCCCAAATAACAACCATGGTTCCACGTTTCTTTTCTCCCTTGTCACATTCTATCAATCTCTTTAAATGGTCCACGTTTACTCGCTTACTCAGATTCATTCATTCTCACCTCTCGTTCACCACTCACCACGCTCTTCGTTTTCTATTTACGCCTTTCCAACTTTCACTTCTAATTATTCATTATTTTTCATATTCTCTCTAATATTTTGTCAATTATTCAATGATTTACTGGTTTAAAATAAAGTGAAAGAAACATTACTTCCATGCTCTCTAATTGGATTTACTCTCTCTTTTTTTATTTATTTTTTATAGTGTTTATATGTATTTCTGTAAAAAAAATTTCTATTTTAACTTAATAAGACTATTATAAGAAGTACAAATAAAATTCTCGCCTATTCAAATCAAATTAGACAGTTAAGTTGGAATAATCTGTTAGTCAATGTTCTTTATGATTATTTTTTAGATATTGCTTGAAAATCAACCCATACATGTTTTTCACAAATATACATTAATTAGGTCACCTCCTTAAAAGAATGCATTGCTCGAACATTGCGTATTAATAAAAACAAGTCACTTTTCAAAAATAACACAGGACTGTAAATGATTATATGTAACGGTTCGTCTAAGCAGAAAATAAGGTTATTAATTATTCTGTATTTTAACTTTTTAATTATTAATTTATGTACTCAATTTTTTTCTCTTCAATAAAAAAAAAACAAAATTTAAACTTTCAGACAAAAAAGTACAAAAGAATTGTATTCACTCATATCAATATTATAAAAAAATGACATTTTTAATGAGTAAAAAACAAGATAAAAAATATTATCTAAGAGCACAGTTTCACTAAAATGTGCCACGATTACACTATCATTTACTATTGTAGAGAACAATAAACAAAAAATATTATTCTTTTTCTTGCAAACCTATAAAACAAATAGAAAAAAAGAAATACAAAGAAATAATTATAAATATGAGATAAAAAGAAAATTTTTATTAAAAAACAAATATGAAAAGATAAAATTTTATATTTATTATTTTATATTTATTTATGTGAGTGAAAAAAAAAGTAATTAATAATGTTTATTTTATTAGTTTATTTATTCAATCTATCTACTTTACATATTAGAGTAATTAATGTTTTTAACTTATTCTAAACCCATAAATGGTTCTTTAAAATGTCACTAATATTATACCCAGTTTTTTTTTTTAATTCTTCATCCATTTTTAGTGGATTTTAAAATTTATTTTTTTAAGTGTTTAAAAATATATTCTGAGTTCGAGGATCTTCCGTGTCAACCTTGATATTCACGTCAGAAAATTTATTTAGAATTCATTTCTTTTCGGTGGATTTCCAGTTTATCTTTTCTTTAAAAATAATTATTTGAGAATTTTAAAACTCACATTTTATTTTTAAGTCTAATAATGCAATATTTAAGGCAAATCAAATATGTTAATAGGCCGACGAAAATTTTGAGAAAAAACTAAATAAATTATAATAGATTAAAAACTATGTCAAATATTCGGATCATGATATATTTGTTGGGTTCAACTGAAATTAAATAGTGAATTTATGAGTTTTTTAAGCTGTTTTATAAAATAATAATTATTTAAAAATAAAAAATATTTTTTAAAATATATTATAAATTAAATTAAAAATATTTTTTAAAATATTTTTAAATTATAAAAAAAATTATTATGAATTTATAAATAAATTATTTAAAATTAAAAAAATATTCATATAAATAATTTTAATTAATTTTTAAACTATTTATGTAAGATGCTAATGAAATATTTATTTTTATTTTTACGTAATTATTATTAATAATTTCTTTTTTAAATGTTTTAATATTTATTTATTATCGGATTAAGAAAAATTATTATTTTATATTAATAATTTATTAAAATACGAATGATGATAATAAAAATAATTTTTTAATCAATAAATATATATTTTTTCTTGTAATTTAGATATTAAATTAATATATTAAAAAAATATTAACATAATTTAAATTTAAAAATAATTATTTTTATTTAAATATTTTTTAACTAATTAGTTTAATATAAAAAGTTATTAATTCTTTTATTTATCTTCCATTGTACAAAAATTGATTCGTGAGTTTAACACAAGATTTAAATTAAAAAAAATAACAATTCAATTTAAAATATAAATTAAATTAAAGCCATCAATTTTATGTCTGATAGATCATTCAACAACTCTACTAATAATAAGATAGTGGAGTATCTCTTATTGAAATTATAGAGTAATTACAATACATATATATTCACCTAACAAATAACCACTTAAAATTGCACAAACTCCTTATATTTCATATCTTTTATTACAATTTTCTCTCACCTACATTTCTTTTTAGATATTTTCTTATAAATTATCTAAAATAAAAAAAAAATTAAATTTTGAAAAAAATTACAGTTCAAAATAATAATTTAATGTGAATCTAATAATATATATATATATATATATTAAAATTATCTTAAACTAAAATAGATATTTTAAAATTATAAATAAGATGAACTTTAACCTAATAATTTATTGATATAAAAATTAATTAATTATATAAAATGTCAACCGATAGTTTATTAAATAGGGAATAATATTAAATATTAAATATAATTATTTATTAAAAATATTAAACTCTACAATAATTATCATAAAAAAATATATTATGTAATTAATTAAATAAACTATTTATAATTTTTAAATGATTTATTTTAGTTTAAAATATATTTAAAAATGTATTTTATTTAGATATAAATTAAATTTTATTATTATTCAAAATAAACTTATGAATATATTAAATATTTTTATTTTTGGTTTTTTTTTTGAGAAATTAATTATAAAAAATTAAAAAGAAAGAATAAGTAAAAATGAGATAAAAAAACTTAATAAATTATTATATTTAAAACATGTAAATATGGGTGTTAGTGGTGTGTATACATAAGAATCACTCTAAAATTATATAGAAAAAATATGTATGAGTGTTTTTTGTAAACATTTATATACATGTGTTAATAATATATATTTTATAAAATTTAAAATAATATAAAATACATTCAACTCATATTAGTATAACAATTTAAAGTTATAAATGTAATAACAGTATAGGATATGTGCATGTTGATAATTAATAAATAGAAAAAGAATGTAAGAAAATAAAATACAGGCAAAGATAAATATTCTAAAATTGTATAAAAAAATATTAATCACAAACAACAGTTATACCACATAAAAAATATCATTTGTAACAATTTAATGGTTTTTTAAAATAAAACAAAACCATAATGAAAAACAATTGTTATAGGCTGGAAAATCTAATAATGTAATTAGGTACAAAGTGGTGATACATTGAGAACCACATTTTATCAAATATTCATTTAATTTTTATATTATTATTTATCTATTTTATTTCTTTCTATCCATCAACCAAAAATATATTATTTTAAGGATACATATGGATGTTTGCAAATGATGGTTGTCCACAAATCTTTACCTTAGGTATAATATAGACAGGAAAGGATAAAGCTAGGTTTTGAACTGAGTTTAGACGAAATTGTTTTTCACCATAAAAGTTTAAAAAAGGAAAACATGGACGTATTTGGATAAAATATTAGTTGATTTTTGACAAAGTTAAATACAATAGTTACTTTGTGTTTTTGAAGCTAAGGAGATTTCACTCCTACCCAGTAAAAAAGAAAGTGGATAATGCATTACAGTAGTAGTTTATCCATTGTAATGCCGATAATGCATTTGCAGGAGTAGTTTATACATTCGTCTCGAATATGAGGTTAGGCACAGTGGAGCTAGTCCTACCCCCATTATTTTCATACAAACTCCACTTCCCAACTCCTAAACTTCAAGAAGCCGCCGGACCAACCCCGCCGCGTCGCCGCCACAATTGGGTCGTTTATTCAAGCCGTCAAAAACCGCCGGTTCCAATATCTAGCAACATCAACGAGACGTGTGTGCCCGTTTTTACGTTGTAAAGTGCCAACTAAGTTTCCATCTTGTCATGGTTGTGATTTGTGAAGCTAAGTACCACTTCCTTTTCTTCAGGGCCTTAAGGGGAGGATTGTGGCCACCACGTTTTGACATCTTGTGGAGTTTGCTTTCTAGACTTGTCTCTTTTTACTTGCTATCTCTCAATCTGGCTGCTGCAGCCTCGGATTATCCTACTCCCTCTACTTATCCCTGTGAAGACATTAGCAATTACTATGCTCCCGTGAAGAATTTGGGATTAACTGGTGAAGCACTCAAGAGACACTTGAATAGCATCATTTCCCCTCACCATGCCTTGTCCTACCGAGAGGTCACCGTGGGTTGGGTTTAAATATACATCATATATGCTTTGTTCGTTTTGATTTAAATTTTGTGCAGCTTGTATGGTTCCCTAAACGCTTGTGGTGGTATCTGGAATCTATAGAACTGAACTGAAATGTTTGTGTAGTTTACAGGTGTGGGATGCCCTTAAGGTTCTTGATGCTGCTGATGTTGATAACCCAGAAGCTTCATCCGAAATGTATGAACATGTCATGACTTTTAATTAATTGCCTTATCTTGTTTTATGTAACTAATGATTATGATGTGCAGAGTTGAAATTTACTCCTTGAGAATTGTCCCAAAACGATTATCTGGAAAACCAGAGGGATGGAACAGTGAGTCAACTAATCAATTTGTTGGACTTATCATGATTTGGATGTTAGTTTCTCGCTATCCTTTAGTATTATATACTTTTCTCACATTTGTTTTTTTTTTTTCTATTTTTTAACATGGACATTCTGTGCTCATATTTGTATCCAAAGGTAAAAAATATGCAATGTGTTTAAATAAGGAAAAAGGCATGTATTTTTTATTATGATATCCCTCGATAGGCCATTCTAAAGTAGCAAAGTGTTCAACTTCTCAAGTCTTAACTAGTGTACAATTATAAGATACTTATTTCACACTTATATAATTTTCTTTCATAGGAGAACATCTATGGCCTCGTTCTTATGGGCTGACTAAAGGTCCATCTTTGACTGATCTGCATAACATTCGCCCTGCTGATGTAAATGGTAAGGAAAACCACTGCTCCATATTTTACTAGTTAAGCTTACAATTTCAGTTGTTGATGTATCAAGTATCTATCAGTCAATTCATCAAGGGGAAACAAGTATTATGGTGAATGTATTATTACTAGCTCAACCAAATGTTTGAGGCCAGCTAACAAAGAAGCTGCTTTCGACACTGAATCAGACAAGCAGAGGTGGGCACCACCTATGCAGGTTATATTTTCTGTCGTTTTTTTTAATGATTATTTTCAAACCTTTATAATTGATATTTGATCATGCTTAAAATTTGATGAATATATTGCTCGATAGTTGTCTGAGGGCAGATCTAGAGTAATTCTTTAAGGTTATTCCTCAATGGTTATGACTTATGAATATGATAATGCCTAAATTTTAGGATTTAATCATTGGAGATAGTTATTAAAATTATGTCACTTGAGCTATTTTGGTTGTTTTAGCCTTTTTGGGTGGTTTTCACATGAAACTTCTACATTGGAAATTAATAGCAACAGTTAAAGGAATTGGATAGACTGTGAAAGTCTCGATATTGTACTTCATCTATTTGTCATTAGCTCTTATGTTTCTTCATTTGGACAATGGTCAGTGATACTTCATGTATTTGCCATTAACTCTTATGTTTCTTCGTTGGATAATGATCACTGATAAATGTCGTTGAAGTTAAACTAATCTCAGGTGAGAGGGGATATAGCAAGGGCGTTAATGTACATGGCTGTCTGTTATGGGTTCCAGCAACCAGGGGAAAGTCCAGGTCTTCGACTCTCGGATAATCCTAATATTGGTAGGTTGAAGTTTGAACACTTAAATATTGAAGTTCTAATTGACAATGCATTCAGATTTTTAGCACAAACATGTTGGGAGAACATACATGCCTTACATAACAATCCTCAAATTATCAGTGAGCTATCTTGCTTTTTATGCAGTTGTTGATTGAACAAATAATTTTATCACCTGTTGTTATATGTTCTTTTAGTAATTTTATCATCTCAAGCTCATCTTTAGTGACAGTCTCATGGAGGCATAGTAGCAAGTTTAATTTTGATTATTGCATTACTCTGCAAATGTAAAATTGGATATGAACTTACTACTAAATTTTGTTGTGAAGTTCAGTTTGTTATTAGCTAGTACATTGTTAGTCCTTTCATTAGTACTGTTTAAGGTAAAAATGATGACAACTTAATATTACATGTAGAAAACAGGGAGATGGGACTCCTTTCCACTTTATTAAAATGGAATGAGGTTGATCCACCTTCGAGGGAAGAAAAACTGAGAAATGAAAGGATCTGCAAATTTTATCAGCATAATCGGAATCCTTTTGTTGATCATCCGGAGTATGCCAATCTTATATGGAAGCAAGCTTATTCAACACATGCTCCTCATAATAACCCCCAGCAATAGTGCCTCACACAAAGAGTTAAAGAATGCCTTTACAGATGTACTAAATCTTGTACTTACCATTGGCTTAGCCTAAATTTGTGCCTCATCAATTCTTATTTTTATTACAGCAGTAACTGAAAGTCGAAAACTAATCCTTTCAAACATAAAATCATCGAAATAGTTATTAGTTATTGAGGAAACAGAGTTTCTGGTGGAGACCGTCTTCTTTGTTTTAAAGGCCTAGTTGCGGAGCAATGTTATTCTTTTATTGTTTGGAAATAAGAGAATGGTGTGAACAATGGTGATGAAAAGAAGGGGGGGGGTTGAGACACAAGAAGAGTTGAAATAGGTTATTTTTAACAAATAAACCTCACATTCTTGAAAGAAAGGATGTTCAAGGTGACTTTGAAGACCTGGTAGGTGAAGGGGAGTTGAAGAAGGGAGATGAGTACCAGACATGAGTGTGAATGAATGTATTCAAGTAGGTCACCATTTTTTTTTATAAAGTTTTGAAAGAAATAATTTCATGAGAATAAATTTGAGAGAGGGTTGGAGAGATGAGATCGGAGGGGTGGATAAGAACGGAATAAATTATATTCATTATAATTTTTAGCAATTGATTTCTATTATTATTCGTAACTAAAAACAATAATTACAATTTATTCTTCCAATTTTTCTATGTATAAATTAGAATAGTTATTTTTTTTTATGTTATTAACGTAGTTACTTTGAATCATAGTGTTTTTTGAAAGATTTATTTTATTTTATCTGATCTTCTTATTCTTTTTTACTAGATAGAATTTAGTTTAAATATTTTAAAAATTTAATTAATAATTAAAATAATCTTATACTATTAATTACTAAAATGATTATAATAATATCGTTAGAATTAAATGACAATATTTAAAGTATTATTTGTATTAGAGTTCTTATTTTCAGTAGATTGGAAAAGAATGATATATTTAAAATATCTTTCTTCTTCTGGAATCCTAAATTATATTAGACTTCATGAATATTCGATATTAATATTAATATAAATTGAATTGTAATATAATTTATTTAAAAATATTTTTAAAAACTAAATATTTTTTTTATTAATGATAATAAAATATTAATCTTACAAAACAAATAATACAATATACTTTCTAAATTATTTACAGAATTATATATATATATATATATATATATAACTTGAATTACCATATTTGTTTATAAGACCTTTTTAAAATAAAATATATTATTTTAATATAAATTTTATTATTAAATTATTTAAAATAAATAAAATTTATTTTTATGAATAATTTTAACTTATTTAAAATAATTTTGATTATAAATTCATATTATAATATATTTTAGTTTTAAGAATTTTTTAAGAAAATTTTACTAGATATATTCTTCCTAGGTAGATTCTTAGTTTATGTTGTGGTGCAGATTTTTTACCTTCTACAACCAATTTACTTTTCTCTCTTAGCTATGCCTTTCAAAAGAAAAATCAAACAATAACATAGATCGAAAATTTGAACACAGATCCACGGAAATTTTTTTAAACTTTAAATAAAAAAATAAAAAAAGAAAGAATTAATTATATAAATAAAGTTGTTATTTAAAAAAGAGAAGAAGAAGAAGATATTTTTACATTATGCTAGTGAATATAATAGAACATGCAAAAAAGTATATGGGTAACCGAAAAACATTAAAACCCGTACTCTGCGTCTAGTGCACCCATTAGGGTTTTGTTAAAAATCCGAACCAGTTGACACGGTGAACGCAACAGCGGCACCAACTAGGGTTTGTGTTTCCGGAATGGAGCAGGAGCAGGCGTCACAGGTGGGTCGGTCTCTGATCAAGCAGCTGGCGTGCTGCAACAAAACTACCAGAGAGAAAACCCTTCGCCACCTCCTCAAATCGTGGCTTCCCTCACAGCAGATACCCCTCTCCGAGGACGACGCAAAGAAGCTCTGGAAGGGTCTCTTCTACTGCATCTGGCACTCCGACAAGCCCCTCGTCCAATCCGACCTCGTCGATCGGTTGTCCTCTCTTCTCCTATCCCTCCACCTCCCTCTCTCCTTCCAGTACTTCTCCACCTTCCTCCTCACCATGCGCCGCGAGTGGTCTGGAATCGACGCCCTGCGACTCGATAAGTTCTATCTTCTCATAAGAAGGTTCGTTTCCAAATTTTTCTCTCTCATGAAAACCCATTCCTGGGATCCCCCACTTGTGCAGAACCTAATGGGTGTTTTCGACCAAGGCACTTTCTCCGCTCAGGAGAATAAGGCCCACGGGAACGGTGTTAATTACCACATTGCCACTGTTTTTCTCGAAGAGCTTCACCCTTTTCTCCCGCTTAAGCAACAGGTTCTGGAAGTGTTGTTGAAGCCTTTCATTTCCGCTATGGGGAGGGCCCACGATAAGGTGTTGGTAGGGAAGATTAGGTCTGGGGTGTTTCATTTGTTGCTAAAGAACGGGAAGACGTTGTTGGAATTTAAGAAGAGAGGGGAGGAGGTTGTGGATCCTCGTGATGAGGTTGTGGTTCTTGGAACGGTTGCCTTGGGGATGGGGTTTTCCGGAAGGTTTTATGAAATGGGTTCTTCAGCTGATTGCTGGCAGGGAAATAGAAAGGTGTTGTTTGCGCTGCATTCTGAGTTTTTGAAGTTGGAGAAGGAAGCTGAAAAGTCAGGGGTTGAGATTTCGATTCCGGATGTTGTTGATGAAGAGGAAGTACCAGAATTGGTTCCACTGGGGCATGCTGAGGTTGTTGGTAATGGTGAGGTGTTGAAGAAGTGTGAGAAGGATAAGGAGGTGAATGTTGACGGTGGCGAGAGTACGAAGAGGAGGAAGAAAAAGAAGGGTGATGCGACCGATCTGGCTAGTGCTGCCCAGAGTGGCAAGGAGAATGTGGTTAGTGAGAATGGTGGGAATGCTAATGATGGAAGCCCGGTGGTGTTGAGTGAGACAGTGATTGCTAACCTGCAAAAGCAGTTTGAGAAGGTTGCTGAGGAGGCGGGTTTGGATGATGGAGCTGCGATGGTGTCTGACTCGTCTGAGGTTGCGTCTGCTACGGGAGAAACTGTGTCTAAGAAGAGGAAGAGGAAGAGGACAAAGAGCTTGAAAGGGAAGGCGTCTCAGGATTCTGCTGACTTGAATGGTGTGGTTGGTGAGGAGAGTGCTGTGGCACAGAGTGGGGAGAAGAGTACAAAGAAGGTAAGATTTTCGATGAAAAATAACTTGGTTTGGAAGCCACACAGTCCATTACCTCCTCAGAGTTTGAGGTTGCCTCCCTCTGCAACACCCAGAGGAAGTGCACTCAAAAAGGGTGTGCCTCCGGGTCCCATCAGGGAGATGCCTCTTCCTACCAAAAAGCCAAAAATGAAGAAGGCTAGGAAGGCAATTAAGGGTGTTTCTCCATCTGTCAAACGCCTGAAGAAATTAAAACTGCGTGCTGCATGAATGATTTGAGTTCCTGCACCTTGTTATGGGGTTGCGTTTCCATGACTTGTTTGTCATACAGTTTTAGTTATTGTTGTGAATTTTTTTTCAAAGTTTATTGTGGTCATTCATTTCTGCCGCACCAATTGAAAAGCAATTTGACTTGTAGTTTAAATGACTGTATATGCCCACACCTCCTTGCTATCTTGTGACGAAATAACTTTTAAATACTTGATTGCCTTTTTGTGTTGCTGAAAATTTATAATACGGAAGGTAAAATTTCCTAAACATTTCCATTAGAAACATTTCCTCAAATTCCTCGCCTTTAAGCTGTTGAACTTCTTCATAAAAGTTTCAATTAATATTGAGACATAACCCCGCTATAGTTGAGAAGTTTGATAGCTTTATTCATTTTCAAACATTCACATTGATCTTGAATTATTGAGGATTAATATTTAAAGATTCTTTTCGAACTCAAGCTTTGTTGGTGCCAACATGTTATAAATTGGTAGTAAGTAGAGGATTTGCCTTTCTTTGGAAAATGAAAAGAAGCCTTGTGAGTCTTGTATCAGCAGTTGGTGTACTTGCTGGTGTTTTAAGGCGGATAAGAAATTGAGAATGATGGTTCATTGCTTTGCACTGTGTTGGAGTCATTTGAGTGATACCCCACTTCTGGTGATTAACAGGCGAGTCTATAGGTTCTTTGACATGGGCGAAGCACTGGTGCCACAATGAGGATCAACCCGCACACATCTGGCGTGATGTGTTAAGAAAACAGAGGAGGAATACTAGGGCGTTTGGATGTGCGATAGTCAAAGCCTCCTGGTGAATTTTTGAGACATTTTGTGAGTTAATTTTGCTATTTTTTTATTTTTATTTTTTTTGTGATTCTGTTTGTGTACATAATACAAATAGGCCATAGTAAGGAAAATAAATGTGTTTTTTGGGTTTTCGGTGCAATAGAACATGAAGTTTTGACGCAAGAAAAGCTTATATTAATTAGTTTCGATTCTGTATCGTTGTTCCATGGCTATATAACTATTGTGAATGATGCTTGAATTCTCAATCTCGAGCTTGATGTATTGCCTGTTTAGTTTGTGGTGTTGGTTTATAGTGGGTGAAGAAGGAATGCGTTTACATGAAAAAACTAGTAATTTTCTTTTCCTAGAAAAAAAAAATAGTAGTTTTTCTTATGGTGTATGGCCTCTTGAAGATTGCATTTTATTCAAGCATAATATATATTTATTCAAGCCATTTTTTGTTACATTCCCATGAAGATTGCTCATTTTGTTTGCGCGTTAATATAATAACGAATATACAGTAGAACATTGAAAGATCATTTGATAAAGTTGTCTTGGTTTTCAAGGCCATTGTTCCGTTTTTGTCTGTGTTTAGGGGCCGGTTGATTATCATCTAGTAGTTTTGGGTTTGACTTATGATTGTGATGACAGCTCATTACCTCAAAGTAGTTTCATGAACTTTATATGGTTAGGACGAAGAAAATGAGTGATTTTGATGCAAGCAAATTGACATCAAAGTGGAGTCATTTCCAAACCTTTAATTCCATTATAAATCAACCGAATGGTGATCATCTTAAAAATGATCCGTGGTGAATTATAAATCATATCAAAAGCATGATAATTATCAAAGTGACAAGGTCATGTTATGTTCTTCATTCTACTTAAAATTCTTTTCCTAAAACACACGTCTCCTTATTATTTTATTGTTTCTTCTAAGAGTTAATATAGTAAATATTCATTTAATTAAGGCTTTACCATAAATATATTTTAACCTGAAAATTAAATAAATGCTTACTGGCATTAAATTTTATCTTTCTTTTATTTATTTTTGTATCAATTAGCTTCTGGATTAGCAGATACAAAATGAGAGAGTAGAAAATATATTAAAAGAAAAAAAAAGTAAAATAAAAATGGTTGTTTGAATAAAAAGATAGAATGATTAGAAGATAGAAGATGAGAGTAGAAAAAAATAAAAGAGAAAAAATAAAATAAAATCTAAAGTTGTTAGCATAAAAAGATAGAATGGATGTGAGTGAAAAATAAAATAAATCTATATTTTAATATCATTTTAATAATTTTTATTATTGTAATATTATTATATACAAAAAATAAATATATTAAAAAATTATAATAATTAAATATTTTTATTTGTATTTTATTTTTAAGTGCAGAGAAGAAATTTTATACATTGATATTTTGCACTTTTTACGTCTGTCGTCAGAAAAACTAATAATTATAGTGATTTTCTTTGCTTTTCTTTGATACAAATAAGGTATTAATAATCACAAGTAAAACATTGATTTAATATATCAAATTTGAAATTAAAATTTGTAATCAACACAATTTAAATTTGATTAAATTCATATGCTAATAATTTTGGATTTTATTTAAATATTATAGAAATTTAAACATTTTAACATTAAACATTTAAAGTAATATATATACAAATTAAATTAAATTTTTTTACTTTCAAGTCTGTCCTATCATATCTCAGGTTCATTTGTTTTTCTCCATTAGAATTTGGTTGAATTTACATGTAATGCACATTAGGGAATCGATTTGAATAAGTATAAGATGTATTTTGATGAAATTAAATGTATATTTTAAACTAAGTTATTGATACTATAAAATATAATTACATATGAATTCATCTTTTCCTTAAATTCGTATAATCTGTTCATCAATAAAAATATGGTTCGGAGGATTAAGAGTACAGATAGAAGATTAAGAATTATGCCATTTTTATATTAGATATTTATTGTACTTTTTTATTTCTTTTAGTAATTATTAAATATTATATGTTAATTAGCCTCGTATGTTGATTTTTGTAGGAAATTAGGGCTCGTTTATGTATGAAGGTTTATGTTGATGAGAGAAATGTGTTTTTATTTTGGAAGAGATTACTGAAATAAGTGTTAGAAAATATTTCTTTATCCTAACGGTGGATGCAACACCATAATTTTAAAACCATTTGATGAATATTATTTTGGTAGGTCACTCTCTCCACTAGATTTCTCCAACCCTCTTTCAGCAACTCCTCTCACCACAGTTTGTCATTGTTGAAGGCCATTTCTTACGACCAACCCAACCAATGTTTCAATTTTATCTCATCATCGCCCCTCTCCACCACCCTCATCACCTACTACACCCAAACTAGTGGAGCAATTTAACTTTAAGGAAAAATAATAACTTTTATCATACAAATCAATTTTTTTTAAATAAAAGTATCGCACCGAAGGGACATGCCATAAGAAAGAATCTAGTCAATAAAAGATCAATATTGATTTATTATTTTATTAACTTTTCTTCAACAAATGTATTTTTACACTGTTAGCTTATTCAACACATATACTATTTTACATATTTTATTGACAATTACTCATTTAAAAGATAATTAGACTATTTCAAATACCCTTTCATTCAAATTTAATTTTATGAAATCACAATCTTTAATAGTCGATGTTTACAAACATTTACTAAACTGTTGATATGTATGGTAAAAAAAAACAAAACAAAGAGGACAAAGAAAAGAAAATCCAACCATATAATTAAGGCTTTTACTAAATCAACATTAATCTAGATTTTTATTGACCCAGCAAAAGCATAAAAAATTATTCTCGTTTTTTAAATCATTGACCGAGTGAAGATAACTTTTCTATTTGAGCTATCTGAGTTTTATTATTCTTTTATATTATGCTATGAGACATTCTTTTTCCCCTAGGATTTTATTTGACCTCTGACCGTTAGAGGAACAAGATGAAGAAAACGCAACCTTAATTTAGTTTTTAATCCATAACTCTCCAACAAATTTATTAATAACCAAAATTACAACAAATATGATTTGCACACTATTTCACAGACAATAGAATGCATATTAAAGTATAAACCAGAGGACCCTATCGTGTTTTTACTAATAATCTACACAAGACATGGAAAAAAAAAATAATTGAACTCATGAGATGTGAGAGGTTTGTAATATGAAAAATAGTTTTGTTTTCATGCGATTGTGCATTCAGGAGGAAGGCCCTGTGGGAAACGCTTGGTATCAGTACAGTAGTTGTAAATCATGTAGTTCTTTTGCACCCACTGAATTCTGGCTTGCCCTGTTGCATCCAGTGATTGCTTCATCCATGATTGGTTTGATGATGGATTGTTGGATGAACAAGATGAGCCTGAGGAAGTCCAGACACATGCTTGGGCATTGAAGTTCCTGTAAGAGGCTGTGAATGGAGCTTGGCTCCAATCAGTCTTCACTAGGCCTCCCCTTGTGGCCCAATCATCAGCATTCCAAAGGCTTGAATATATCCTCATGGCTTGGTTTTTGGGAAAAGAAACCCCTTTTGATTCAAGATTCTTGAACTCCCTTATGGGTGTCCCATCCACAGAGAATCTGTCATAAGAATAACAAGAAAAGATTAATCATGAAGTTAATATAGACATCTTTTGGTTATTGTTTATTTAGCTTCTCAACTACGTTTTAATCAATACGTACGAAGTAAATAGTCTATTAACAGATCGTATGAAGAAAATTTATGCTGTGATTCAATGATGAATATCTTTGTATAGTAATTATATATATATATATATATATATATATATATATATATATATATTAATACTTATTTTTAAAATTATATCAACAATAATTTTTTTTATTGATTCTCAATTTGATTTTATAGCTATTGAATTCAATTAATGAAGTAGTGCATGAAAGAAGAAAAGAGGTATGCATGTATTTACAATATGCTCTGAGGATTCCAAAGAATGGAATATGTGTGGAAGTCCTTGGTGGGGTCGAACCACAGATAGAACTGCTGTTCCCTGTTACCTTTCCCTTGTGTGAATACGTTTGTATGAAGAATATAAGGATCACCACTCAAGTTACCCAGAAATTCAAAATCTATTTCATCATGAACATCCCCAAGAGAAGATAGCTGCAGCAATTACAATCAAATATATAGTTAATATATCTTTCTGTGCATAATAACAAGTTAAATGAATCTCATGCAAAATATGTAACTAACTTCATCTGATTCAATTTTTCTTGTTAAAGCATTTGACGTGCAAAACCAATAAAGAGCTAATATAATTGATGAGCAACAACATGCAAAGTAGGGAACTTACATAATAAGCTGTGACTGTGCCTGCAGAGTTGCCAGGTACAAGCTTTAGCTGCATGTCAATTTTTCCAAACAAGTATTCATTCCTAGAACGAAATCCAGAGCCAGAGGCCTTGTCCAGGGACAAAGTAAGAAGTTCTCCATTGTTGAGGATTTTGGCACGACCATCACCCCATGTTATCTCAAAGTCTTGGTTGAAGTTACCAGCAGAGGCCGCAACCACATAGGTTATGAAAAGAAGGGCAAGAAAAATCTTACTTGCCATTCCAAGAAGTGGTGCCCAAGTTTGGTTTTAATTAATTTGGTTGGAAAATATGGAGCAAGAGAAAGAGAGGGGCGCAAAATGCCAAGAGAAGTATTTGGTGAGGGTTGTAGTGCATGCAAGGTTTTGAAACTATATATAAGGGAGTGCTTTAAGCGGAGGCAATTATGAATGTGCAGGATCATTGGGGCTTGGAGGTGGTGGAAGTGGTTGAGAAAAAACTACAAACGTGTGGAGTGCAAGAGGGATTGCTGTGGGTTGACTTGTCTTTGGTGGAGGGCTAGGCTAGCTTTGAGTGGGACCATGACAGCTAATGAGGGGTGATATGTATGTATATCCAAATGTTGTCGAATCATTTGGGTTCTAAACCCAAAGTTTTTATTACTACTATTAATTATAAATATTCACATAATTGCACTTATTAAAAAACCTTGGCTTTCAAACCTCAAATCAAATAACAGCTGTCTAGGTTATGGTGCTAGTCTTGTTTTAGTTAATCGTTCCACACGAATCTACTAAATACATGGCGCTAATATTAAATATATGCTTTCAATGGTTCCTTTTCTGCCAGTTGGAAGAAGTGGTAGTGCCTTAATGAACACCTTTTTTATCAAACTTAAACTTTTGGGAGATAATTTTCTGGTTAGTGTCAATTAATGACGTGAAGTTGAGAATGGAATAGTTCGGCCAATAGCCAAGATACTTGACGGCTATGTAATGTAACAAAGAAAAACAATGGGTTTTGAAAGCTGTTATTCGTAATATGTCGTGAAGGTTGAGAAGAAGTGGTGATAAGTTTGAAATTATGTGACGTGGGAAGAGGGTTATTTTTTGGATGGATAGAGTTGTTGAGAGGTGGTGCGTTTTGGACTTTGGAGTTAATATATTTAAGGGGCTGGAGAAGGTAGAGAAATGAGTTGTTACTTGTTTAATCAGACAAGCTCTGTGCCAAAATTGGGTCTTCCGTGGGTCAAATGTTGCTTTCGTGCAACGCTGGTTATGAAGGTAGAAATACGTACATATTCGTCGCCATTTATTAGAAGTGGAATATTTGGCAAAGACCATTTCCTTCTTCTCCACCTCATTTCAAAAATGCTCATATTTCATTAGTTTTGAAGAGACTTCGTCTAGGTTAACCAGGAGTTTCAATAAGGTTCACTTACATTTGCTGTCAAGTATATATCTCTAGTTAACCCAGATACTCTGTTTTAAAAATAATAATGGGACAATTTTTGGTGTCATTAAAAAAAACAAAAAATTATATATATAATATGAGTAGAGGAATAACGTGAGATATGTCTAAAAGATGAGATAGAAAGAAATAAATAACAAAATAAAATTTTAAAAATATTTTCGTTTATTTTTTAAGAAAAAGTGATTCCTTTGTAATTGTTTTTGTATGCACCACATTCACATTCTTCATGCTTCTCAAAGGTCATTGGTGCTTCCAAGTTAAGTTATTATAGTAAATACTAAACCACTCTCTGCAATGCTTTTATTTACTCCTTCCTCATGAATCATGATTTGCCTTCTTCATACCCTTTTTCATAGGAAATGGTCTTCTTTGTCCTTCCCACATGTCATAATCTCTTCTAACTATCTTCCTAATCAATAATTTAGCAGAACTGGCAGGGAAAACATCTTCTTTCAAAACTACAATTTTTAAATTAATCTTTCAGATTAACTAATTCAATTAACATGCTTCGTACCAATATCATCAAATACTTTATATTTTTATAATACATTTACTAAGTAATTATTAGTACGAAAATTATATACTCTTTTTCTCATTTTTTACTTTTTTTTTTTTTAACTTTGTCATAAATTGAGTTTTGATTTAAGTTTTATTTTCAAGATTAAATAATTACGACTGTGACTAAAATAAGATAATATAATTTAATTTTTATTTCACTCCATTTTGGAGTTTAAAATAATGAACAAATTTATCTAAAGTTATGAAAAAATATATTATTAATCACTCAAACTTATTCATTCAATAAAATTTTTGAAATAAATGTTATAGGTCAAAATATTTTTCCATCCTTTTAAATTTTTTTACGTAAAGAAACAAAATAAAACAAAACAGAAACTTCACGTTTAATTTTAAAATAGTTATGTCAATTTTTTAAATTTTGAGTAACTAAAAAAACAATTTTAAAATAAAGTACATGGGCATGGTTGTATAGAAAAGAAAATCTAACCACAACAAATCTAACATTAGATTATGGTATGCCACGTATTAATTATATAAACACACATCATTGTGTAGATGATTTTATTATTTTATTTTTCAAATCAATTCAAATACGCTTATGCAAATACAATAAATCTATCTAAATTGATTCTCTGCGAACATAAATATCTAAGGGTCAAGATGAAAAATAATATTTTATGAAATTTAAAAACTTTTTTTTTTTTTACTTTCGAGAGAAAAAAGCTAAAAGTAATTTATTTTAACTTTTTCAATTATTTTGTGTATAACAAAATTAGAGTGAATGACGTGTTTCTTACACAGGTTACACATTTTGAGAAAATGTGATTTTTTTTCAAAAGTTTAATAAAATAGAAAAAAAAAACATAAAATGAAATTACGATAAAAAAAACATTTTTTTATTTTTGTATATTTTTTACAACAATAAACACGATAAATAAAATAAAATAAAAAATAATGAATAAAACATTTTTGAGGTAAGACAATGGGTGGTTTCTATGTACACACTTTAAAGTGTTGATTTTAAAGTTTGATTTGGTTTTAAATGTATAATCAATAATTGCATAGATGTCAAGAGCAAATAAATGGAGAGTGGGTCAATTACTGGGATATTAACAATAACATTGGAGTTTGGAGTTTTCTATTTAATCATCAACTTGGCTACTCTATTCCATCATATGCTTATAAAATTACAACTCTGCCACTCAACTTTCTACACAAGAAAACATCATGGATTTAGTCACATCGTCATTGGTTCCTATCACAAATATTGCTGTCTTCCATTTACAAAACTTCTGCTCCCGCATTTTTTTTATGGCAAATAATTTAAAATATAACATTAAAGATGCTGCCTTATATATTCACATTTGATCGTATAAGTTTGATTATTCTAATTTAATGTTTTACAAGCGGTTTGTTTAAGAAGAAAAAAAATAGAGAGTAAAAAATAATTAGATAAGAAAAATCAGTAATATATATATATATATATATATATATATATATATATATATATATTTGAATTTGTTATTGTTCAAAAGTGGTATTTTTTATTTTAAGTTTTTTTTCTCTTCTATAATTATTTTATTATATTGACTCTGAATATTGGATTAAGACTTTCGTTCACGATATTTTATGTTTAATTGTCATTTTTTATGAGAATTTTTAAATAATGAACAAATTTTAGATAAATATTTTCGATAATATATCCATAAAATTTAGCACTTGATCATAAGTTTGATTTATGAGATCGATGGTGTTATTTTGACACTACATAGCTTTAATTATATTATTTTAATAAAATAGAATGAATATGTAAATGATTATTAAAATTAAATGGATAATTTCATATAATTTATATATTTTTAATGAAATATTATTTATTAATTTAAACTCAAATTTTTGTAAGTATAATTTTATAATTATATAAGATATATATTATTAGAAAAATATTAATTTGAATATGATAATTTAAAAAGTTGTTTTATTAAAAAATAATTAATAATTATAATGAATTAAAAATATAAAATATTTCATTTTAATTAATTTATTTTTTGAAAATAAAATTTTGTAAATAACGTCTTAATAAATATATAAATTTGTTTATGGAGTCATGGTTGATGAAAGAGGAAAGAAAATTATTGTGATGACAATTAGGGTAGAATCATTGGTCCGGTGAAGTCATATTCCTGTCTTCCACTGAAATGCGTCAAACTTATACAACTCGAAAAGGAAAAGAAACAAACAATACCCGCAAAATAATAACATATCATACAATTGGATGACACCATTCCTACGTCGCAAATCACAAAGATAATTGTTTCAACATTTACTTTTTAATTGAAGAATATTTAAAACTTTTTTTTCTTTTCTTTTCTTTCTAAAATAGTATGATTTTAGTGAGTTAAAATTTCAATATTCGCATAACCATAAAATTATATGTTAATCAATCTCAAGTAACAACCCCAGTCTGCGTCCATATTTTACCGAGAAGGTTATAATATTATTCGAATTCATTATAATATAATATATTATTCATTTTAAAATTTTATAAATATATCCTTGAATATATCAATAAGTTATTTTTGTAAAATACAACTCAATTTGATTTCTTTCTGAATTTTATGTGTGTAATGGAATGCATTATGCTTCCTCTGCAAGTTATCCTCGGGTTGCTAAATTAAAGTTATTAGTTATTGTTTGAAAATATTTAAACCTAATTCTTAATGCTAACAAATTTTTTCCAACCAAAGTTTGAGTATTTGAAAACATAGACAGTAAAACTCATATATTTAAAAATCAGTGACTCAAATAATAATAATAAGAATAAAAATAAAGGTACATTAATCATTAATTGTTTATTTATGATTAGTGGTGGATTTTTTGGAAGTTTAGGAGAATGTAATTCTCTCAAAACTAATTATCATATAACTTATGATTTTGACCATCAAAATTTAATAAACATTTAATATATTTACTTGTATATTTATAATTTTATCCTCTCGAGTCCTTCTTTAGTTTTGTAATTCTCATCTTATGATTTTGTCACCCTTAAATTTAATAATCATTTAATATATTTAAATATATATTTATAATTTTATCATTTCACTATTTTATTTTATTTTTTCTTTTTATATTTATTTATTAATAATATATTATTTAATCCAAATATCATCCAAGACAACTTAAACATGTAAAAAACACTTATTATCTGCAGTTAGGAAAGCGACGTGTCTGTTGCATGATTAAATTATTGGTTAATTAATTAAGTAAATATTAATTTATCAAATTATTTAATTAAGTTATAGTAGTATTTAAGAAGATCAAACGAAAAAAAGTAATATTATAAATTTTAATTATGTTTGTTACTAGATGGGGAAGTAACTTTGGTATTGTTCATCAACACCAGTCTTTAAATTTCGTATTGGTATTATAATTTTTGTATTTATATTTATAATTAATTACTCGAATATCTATCAATTTATATTATTAGTGGGGAAGTAACTTTGTTATTGTGCGTTACTGATCTAGGTGCCAAGAATTGAAGTGTTTAAATTGTTGTGACATCAATAATTAATTAAAATTAACTAATTTTATAGATGTTAGTAACATAAACTAATTTACTAAAACTTATACACGAAGAGTTTTTATAAATTAAGTTATATATAAACCAATTTTAATTTATAAAGAAGTTTATTTTACTTTTTTTAAATATTTATAAGAATAATTGTTCGGTTTTTTTTCTTTGTTAGCATGTTATTAAATTTATAATTCAAAAATAACATCATTTTATTAATCACTAGTGCAGAATATGGCTTTTACGTCACCCAATTGTCGTCGCATGCACGTATATTCGACGTAAATAAAACGCGGTGGCAATTTTGTAAATATGGGACAAAAAATTTACGTCGCACACCCCAATAGGAGACGTAAAAAGTCATCTTTTACGTCGCACCTGGGAGGCGCGACGTAAAAGATGGCCTTTTACGTCGCGCCTCCCAGGTGTGACGTAAAAGATGACTTTTACGTCGCTTACTACACTGCGCGACGTAAAAAGTCTATTTTATTTCCCTCCCAGCCCACTTCCTCGTCTCGCGCAACCAGGGTTTTTGAGAACGACGACGAGAACAACGACAACAGCTACCTCTGCACACCATTTGCGAGCAGTTTTTCAGTGAAAAACATCTACATTGTCGTGTCATTTGACGAACTTCATCTTTCTCCCCGATTGGATTCGAGTTTGAAATCAGTTTTCGTCTACACTCGAGGTTAGTGTTCATTGTCATTGCTATATGTTTACATTGAATCCGTGATTGTTTTTGGGGATCTCAATCACGTTATAGTATGAATGTCTCCACTGGATTGTTATTGGAATGCAGTTATTTGTTTATTTGTTTGAGTGCATTCGGTTTACACACTCCATTGTTGTTGGAACGTGCTTTGTTGTTTGTATATTAATTTTTTTTTACATATAATTTTTAAATCTTTAGGAGTGACGAAACTTTATAACATAATATGAATCGAAGTTGGATGAATGCACGTCGTATTAGTGAAGAGTACGAAAAGGGAGTTGAGGAATTTCTAAATTTGCTAGTGAAAATGGAAAAGCTATGAAAGGGACATATTATTGTCCATGTGTTCGTTGTTTGAATCAAATTCGTCATAAACTTGAGGATATACGTGATCACTTGTTTGTTTATGGTATTGAATGAACATAACAACACATAACTGAAATAAAGGCAACACATCCACGAATGAATGAAAAATGGGTATTGAATGAACATAACAAAAGTTTCCTTTCTTGGTTTAAAAAAAGGGTATATGTTGAGATTAATGCTTCAGAAACACTTTTGAGACTTGCTCGTGGGCCTAATAGTGATGTCATTACATTTGGTGGGTATGACATTAATAACTATTGTTTCTACTCAAAAATAGAAGATGATAAAGGTAGAGTACAAAATAGTGGGGTCACAATTCAAGCTCGAATCTATGCATTTTTCTAGTTCTAAAGACAAAAATCCTATCACAGCTTCTATGAGTTATTTTGGGGTCATACAAGAGATATGGGAAATTGATTATGTTACTTTTAGGGTGCCTGTCTTCAAGTGTAAATGGGTTGAAGGGAATACTGGTGTGCGAACAGATGACCTAGGATTTACTTTGGTTGATTTGAGTAAAGTTGGGTATAAGGATGAACCTTTTATTTTGGCATATCAAGCGAGACAAATATTTTATGTCAAGGATCCATGTAATGAGAGATGGTCAATTGTCCTAGAAGGAAGAAGCATGCACGAATTCATGAAGATGAGTCTCTAGATATACATGAAACACCTTCATTTTCAAGTAGACCATTTGATGACATAGTTGACAATGAAGTTGATGACATACATGCAATTCGAAGTGATCATGATGAAGGGATATGGGAAAACATACCAACATAATAGGTGTTTATCTTCACATTTTCTAGTTCTTTTTATTCAAACTTATAAAGTATGTTGACTTCATATTGTTTTGTTTTTCAGGATATGTCGGATTCCAGCTAGATGCCTGGAAGTGGTAGTGGCGAGTGGCAGGGAGCGGAAGTGGTGATAAAGGTAGATCTGTCACTCGGTTAAAGGGGTTGACAGGAAGGAGGGTAGCTAGAGAGAAAACTCAAGTTGAAGTTGATCCACGTTCCGGTAAGGCATCTGGCCCAAATGCTTGCTAAGTTTAAGAGCTATTTGGGACTACTAGCTCGACACCATGTTCCGATTACTACTCCATCTTGGGATGATGTTGAGGAAACCGAGAAGAACCTCATGTGGCAGGATGTTCAGGTATTTCTATATTTGTTGAATACTTTATATATCATTATTAATTGAATTTAACATTTATTGGTCATTTCATAGCAAAATTTTGATGTTCCTAACACTGAGGTGATGAGGAAGAAGATTTTATCCTCCATTGCCATTAGATGGAGGGACTTTAAGACTTTCTTGACACTGGAGTATGTATTTGGAAAGTTTCGAGATGAATCTCCCTGTCTAAAGTATCAAATTAGTGAGGAGGATTGGTTACGGTTTTGTGCCGCCCGAATGGACCCCTCTTGGCAGGATAAAAGACAAGCTGCCCAACAACGTCGAGAGGTTGAATGATGCACCTCATGTATTGTCACGAGGAGGGTATGCATTATTGGAGCAACGTCTCATGAAATCCAGAGAAGAGTCGGCAGGAGTTGATTCTACTGACCTTGCATCTCCACCCCTCGCTATCGAGATGTGGAAGGCAGCCTGGACAAAATCTGATGGACAAATGACTTCCGAGTCTGCAC